GATTGCCCTAGGGAAACGGAGAGGAAGCGCCGCCTCCTCCCCCAAAGTGGGAGGGGGCCGGAAGGACGAAAGAAGGCGTCTCCAACCCTCCCGCACCCCCAGGCAACATGGCTCGGGGGATGCGAGGGCAGGGGCGCGAGGCGAGGGGCGGGTTAGCTCAGTCTGTGAGAGAGCGGCGCAGGCCGGGTGTCCCCAGCCAGAGCGGAGAGCCCCGGGCCGGTGGGTGGGGGTCTGGACTGAACTGTTCGGTGTGTGAGACCCGAGCTCCAGGCAACAGTATTAGCACAATAAAGAAGCTTTAAGACCCAAGCCTCAGTGGCTGTCTGGTGTTCCACAGAGGGATCGCCCTGGGTGGGGCTCCCTGGTTCTGGGCTGGGGAAGTTGTTCCCCTCTCCCCTGCCTCATACGTGCACAGGCTGTCTTTCTCCCCAAATTATAGGGCAAGGCAGAAGTGGAAGGAGCCATGCGATCCTCCTTCATAATAAAGATGGGGAAACTGAGGCTCCGGATGGACTTTAAATCCAGAACCCCGCTTTTCCTTTTCATTCTAGAATGTCAGAGGAGAAAGCAGGGTACTGCCAGAGGTGATCTCTGTGGTTCCCTGACCGTTCTCACTAACCTCTCTCCTCCCCTGTCTACCTAATGCTGACTTCTCTCTCTCCTAGATACATGCTTTCCCTCCAGACAGCCAAGAAGGGGTCCGGAGTCATATTCTGTTGGGCAGAGAGACCACAGGCCATGTAACCTAGCCCTCCTTTTGATGGGAGCAGGATTGGGTTTATTGAGCATCCTTTAAATGCCAAGTGCTTTTAAATATTTTATTTTATTTACCCCTTACTTTAGTTTCCATTGTACAAATAAATCTCTACCATGGCAACAACAGTAATAATCCAGGATCTGGCCTAGGAAGATTTGATTACAGGACAGCAGGCTGTTTCTCTGATATTTGAAATCCTTCTATAGCATTCTGGACAAAGGGTATTCCAGCCTCGTCAGCTCGCCACCTCCCAAAGCCTGGCCGTTGTTTATCAGTTTCTTTTACTGAACTCATGTAGCTTCTATTGCCTGGTTCAAGTTCTACTCTTAGGGAGCTCGGAGTATCATATTTCCAATTCAGCGGCGCCTAGGGCCAAGTGTTTGTCCTCTAAATACTGGACAGTTGTAACAGGCACAGAACTGGACTTCTGTATGTTGTTGGGGGCGGGTAGAGATCTTCAGAAATGTGTAGTACTTCAAGGTCACCTAGTTCCACCTGCCCTTCTCCTGCCTCCTGCTTGTTGAAAGCCCAGACTATTCTCACACGGATTCTTCTTTTGAGGAGAAGCTGGTCTGCCTAATCCACCCCACCCTTAAAAGTTTATTGGTACACTTAAAGCAGACAATACAGTTACATTTATCATTGGGATCTTGTTGGTCTGCCTAATTCTGCTTATACTCTAGGGACACATGAAGTGAGGTGTCCGTGGGCCTCAGAGCAGTTGAGTTTAGGAAGCCCTGAAACCCTGCCTGGCAAATGGAGCTAGGAAGCCCTCAGTTGGCTTAGGTGCTTGCTCAGGGGTAGTGGCCTTGGTGGTCTGCCTGGACAGAGCCAGGGAGGAAAATAAGAGATAATAATGAGACAAAGGGAACTAGGGACAGCTGAACTGGGGCAGTTAGAGGATAGGGTACAGAGGGAAAGAATTAAATAAGGAGGAGCAGAGAATGCCAAGAGCCATCTGTCATTTATTTGGCCGCATTTATGAGCACCTCTCACATGATTTATTCATAGGTAGAGCTGGCTCTTCAGCAGGGCACTGTACCTGGCACACACTTTTGCCCTAAGGAAGCTGGTGGACTGGGTTGACCTGGGGAGGGCGCTCTGGCTGAAGGATCCTCCAGCTCAGCCTGTTGCAAGGTGGTGAGGTCAATTTCTTTCCTGTTCTGAGAACTAGGGAGCCATGCTAGCCTCAGCCTTCATTTGAGAAAGGGGAACAATGAGCCTCCCTCAAGGAAAGCCCATTAAAAAGCAGCGAGAGAGCTTTCAGGGAGACTCTGGAAATGGCTTCCTGTTAGGGTGACTCAACCAGGAAGGCAGGGAAGTTCCTAAACCCTTGGTGGAGATGGCAGCCCTTTCCTTGCTCACCATCCCAGGGCACGAGGGTGGGGAGTTTCTGCTTCAGTGACTTTGCTGTGCCAAGCACCTTGTTCTTTTTTGTTCCTTTCTCCCACATGAGCTCTTGTTCATTGCTGGAGGAGAGCACTTGTGATGATAACTGTTTAAGAGCAGCTCTGGGGAGAGGGAGAGTGATGGGCAGGGAAGCGCTGATTCACAGCATTTCGGTGTGGCCAACCATGTGACCTTATTGGTGGCTGGTGGTGGGGATAAATAGCCTCAGGAATTTCAGCACTAGAGAACTATAGTAAAATAAGAAGTGAGCAGTGTTCAGCACTTTTTACCTTCGTTTTAATTTTAATTTAATTTGTTCAATTGCATGCTTATGAAATTCACATTTGAACCATGGCTCCACTGAACAGCTGATTTGCAAAATGTAGGTGGACCAGGACACCAAATGTTTTAGTCAACTTTGCATCACTATAACAAAATACCCGAGACAATGGACTTCAGAAGAGGAAAGGTTTATTTTGGCTCACTGTTTCAGAGATTGCGGTCTATGATGCTTGGCGCGGTTGCCTGGGCCTGTGACCATTCAGCACGTCATGGTGAAAGTGCTTGACTGAAGAAGGCGGACAAATGCAGAGGGCTGGGGGCTCTGATAACATCTTCTAGGACACACCCTCCATGACCTAACTTCCACTAGTCCTACTTTTTAAAAGTTTTACCACCTCCCAGTGGCAAAGTGGGCTGAGAGCCAAGCTGCCAACCCAAGGAAATTGTGGTATCCTCCCCCAAACTATAGCCCCAGGTGACAAGAAGCCTGGGCACAGGTGCTTCCATCAGAGTGGAAATGTCCACTTTGGGAGGCTGAGACAGGAAGATCCCAAATTCAAGCTCAGCTGGGATGACCTTAGCTTAGCAAGACCTTGTCTCAAATAAATAAATAAGGTTTAGAATGTAGCTTAGAGCGAAGGCTCTGGTTTAACACCTAGCGCGCACACACAGGGAATCTCAAGACAGTCTTGATGCCTGTTTTTTCCATAGAGAAACAAATAGCACAAAGCCGGTTGTCTCCATTCCTCTTCCTACTTTTGCATCTTGCACTTCTTTTCTGCTCTACCCAGACTGAACTGTAGTTCTTCTGGCCACTGAGCACATTACTTAGATAATTTACAGCTCCCTGGAAACCAAGGCCACTCTTGACAGTTATCAGAAACTCAACTTGGCATCCACAGGATTTCTGTGAATGTGCTTTCTGGGGTGTCCAGCTGTGGGAAATCTATTCTAGAGACACTTCTAAGTCCTTACTGATGTGAATACTTGCCTGATTCTCCTTGCCAGTTTTTTTTTTTTTTTTTTTTTTTTTTCCCATTTATCAACAGGAATTCACAGAGAAGAAACTTGCCGTTCCATTCTAGTTTACAGCGAGTGCACCGTGAAAATAATTTAAGCACACATTCATTTAGAAAATTAAAGTACCACAAGAGCGCAGTGCCACTGAGCTAAATCCCTGCCCCCCCGCTGGGTTTTAAGAAGTTATCCTTTAACACCAAATTCTTTTAAGCCCCAAACTCTTGAGCACAAGGGCGAGAGGGAATCTCAACTGTCAATGTAG